ATATATATATATATATCATCATCATCATCATCATCATAACCTTTTTCCAATTAATTAGGGTGGCTATACAAATCCTGGTCCTTCATTCTGTACTATTAAAGGCTATCCCCTCAGTGAGGCCATAAGTCCTTATATCTTTTTGGACTACTTCCAACCATGTGCATTTGGACATATCCCTTCTTTTCCATCTTTCCACTTAACTAACTCGTTCCTCCTAACAAGTGGTGTACTAGGTCGGTGCTACACATGGTCAGTCCACCTAAGTTTACTCTCTCTCATCTTATTGCCTATTGGTGTCATCCCAATTTTTTCAAATGGATTCATTTCAAATTCTATCCCTTCTGGTCTTGCCACTCATCTATCTCAACATCCTCATCTCCGCTACACTTACTCTATGGGTATAATGTTTTTTGTTCGCCCAACATTCTGCCACATAGAATAAAGCTGGTATCACAGTTGTCCTATAGAACTTGCCTTTTAGCTTTGTTGGTATGCGGCAACTACATCGAATTCCAGTTGCACATCTCCACTTCGCCCACCCAGCTCTAATTTTGCACGCGACATATTCCTCAATCTCTCCGTTTTTCTAGATTATCGACCCAAGCTATCGAAAGTACGGTCTTTTCTGTACTTCTTAATCGTCAATCTTAACTATGTCCTCGTTCCTACTCCTATTATTACTGAACTTGCATTCCATATACTTTTGTCTTAGTCCAGCTAATTTTAAAACCTATTCTAGAGCATCCCTTTATAGTTCTAACTTTGTGTTGACATTATTTCGGGTGTTACCTATCAAAACTATGTCATTTACGAATAACATGTACCATTGTATCTCAACCTGTAGGTGCCTAGTTAAGTTGTCAATAACTAAGACTAAGAGGTATGGGCTCAATGCTGACCCTTGATGTAGACCTATTGTCACTAAAAACTCACGTATATCTCTACTAGTTATTCGTACATCAGTTAGCGTTCCATTATAGATATCGCTTACCAAGTCGATGTAGTATCTAGATACTCTTTTTTTTCCAATACCCATCAAATCAAATCTCGACATACTCTGTGTCAAACACACCCTAAGTTTTGTGTGCTCTACAATCGGAACTTGAACTGGTTTAAAACTACAAAACATAAGTACTTCAGTTTGGAACTTCAAATTGTAAAAAGAATTTTATTTAGTTTGAAAAAAGTGTCGTTTGGAACTTAAAATTTTGAACATAATTTTAACTAAAAAAGAGAACTTGGAGTTCTTAATAGCATTTAATTCTAAGTTGAAGACTTAGGGTGTGTTTGACACATGGAGTTTTTGAGAGTGAAAGTGACTCTCCTACAAATTATAAAAGATTGCTCTTCCATCATTTTTTATGGAAAAGAGGTCTTCCAAAAATGAATCCATTTTAACACTAGAAAAAAGCTACATGGAAGGTCGCCCTTCTACTTTACAGCTTCCACAGTAATAAACATGGAAGCGGGACATTTAACTCCCACTTCCAAAAACTTCCACTTACCAAACACGCCTTTAGAGTTCCGAAATGAGAACCAAAACAAAACAAAAAAAACAGGCCAGTTCAAATTTTGGAAAAAAAAAAAAAGGATATGCAGTAAAATTTCAGAAATTACGGGACATATTTTTATGTCTCTCATACTTACCTAAAAATGAAGTAACAAATAAAAATACAAGGCATGTGTCACAAGCTAGATATTTCCTAAATAAATTGGTGAGGATTGTTATTGGTTACCCTAGAGCCAAAGCACCAGACCACTGAAGAAGAAATCCAAGAGCGGCCGATATGAGTATAGCAGATGTGTTACTGAAGTCCCAGTTGAATGACAAGACGCCCGGAGGGTCCAACGACGGCATCAGGGCTAGCAAGAAGAGCAATGTCACTGGGGTTGTCTTCCACATCAACCTGTTCGTATCATTCTCATCCAATTATGAGAAATGAGAGAAAGTGTAAGAGAAAGATATGATGAAAAAGAACAGGGATTGGGCGATACGATGAAAAAGAACAGGGATTGGGCTTGAGTGGTTAGCGGCTCACATTTAGCGGCATTGTTCTACTCCTAACGCTGAACTACCAAAAAAATAAATAAAATAGAAATTCACGTACAAACCCTAAAAAATAGGGAAAATATGACATGCTCTTTTTATAACCAAAAATTACAAAAAAGTCCAACAACCGCTATAATTTTTTTAAAAAAATTGCCCATCGGTTCTAGGATGGCATCCATAGACCAAATTTGAATTTTTTTTTTTTTTTGTGTTTTTTCTTTAGTAGGGCAGTGCTCCAGGTTTTGGGTGCAGCACTTAGGTGGTTCAGTTGGAATCTTCCGATCAATCCTTCTTTTTTTTAAAAAAAAATTTGGTGGTCCGAGGATGAAGACCACGGACAGCTCCCTGAACTGAGCGTCGCTCAATTCTAAAGCGGGCTGAGGTTTCATCCTCATATGGCTTGTTATTTTCTGGGAAAATATAACGAGAACGAGAACCCCAAACCGCTATTGTCTCCCCAACATTAACGCATCACCTTATTTTAATGAGAATATCAAATTCAAGTCACCATGCCAAATGACATCATTTTCATGCCACTTACCAGCGGTTTGACCCACATATGAACATGAAACGCATGGCATTAAAAATCAATTTTGTACGTTGAGACATCAACATCTATCTTTTCGATGGATGGTAATGGGGTTAGAGTGGCCCCCACCATTGAGGACATCGCCAGCACTCCATCGATCCGATGGTGCAATCACCTAACCCATAATCTGCTGGTTATTAAACTTTCTTTAGAGGCAAAAGAGTTGGGAGGTTTCCGCAGGAGTAAATTCTATATTTCATTAGTCGGCCTGAACACCATTTTTGGGTGCTTCTGTAGTTATGTGACTCAAAACTAACAAATCATCTTTATCCATCTCTAATAACAAATCAAGTAACAGATAAAAGAAAAAAAAAGGAGAATGATTTGGAGATCACGAAATGCTCCACACCCCTTCTTGCTCCGAAGTTTGATTCCAAATCATCAATTTGCAAATGATCCATCTGATGAATGATTCAATCTAGCAGATTTAAAAGCTAAAGACCAATTCTCTTCAAATTTACCACAAGGTAAATCTCTAAGTAGGTGTGTCGCCTATCGGACTAAAAATACAACTTGGTCCTGCAAAACCACCATATACTACACCCTTGTTTAAAGTCAAATGTTGGGAAGACAATAGCGGTCCGAAAATGGAACGCTATTTTTTTATGGGTCTGAGTACTCCATCCAGGGGGACGTCAGTGATTCTCATCACCGGATGGGATGACTCTTTTTTAAAATTAAAAAAGGGGGACGGGTATGAGGATTTTAACATTGGATTGCTTGGGCATTGTTTATAAAACTTTGGCCGCAAAATTACTAAAAAAAAAAAACTAAAGAAAATTAAAATTCGGTTTGAGGATGCCATCCTCAAATCGAGAGACAAGTTTTGAAAAAAAAAAAATGTTTGATCAACCTTTTTGGTAATTTTTGGCTATAAGAAGAGCATTTTGTATTTTTTTTTTTTTAAGGTCCATACTTATAATGCTAAAAAAAAAAAGAAAAAACGGAAAGATGTGATGGAAACAAACAAGTAAAAGCAAGGGTTTTGCTCACGCGAGAGCTGTCCAATTTTCTTGTTGTTGCAGGTTAGACCAGAGAATTTTGTTTATTGCACTGGGAATGATCCATGCCATGGCTATGCAAGCTCCGAAGAAGTTGAATTGCAGATCTGTGACGGTTGCCACAGCTACGCCAATGGATACCACAGTGAGAGCCAACCCCTGCAAACCACTCCATCCACAGCACTTTTATTTGTTGCATATTAAAAAATAACATTGCAAAGCAAACTACAAGAGAGCAAAAAACATCATTTCTCTAATAAATAAGAAAATCAAAACTTCATGCATATCCTAAGAGCATTGCACTACAATAATCCCCCACCTCAAATGCCACTTTTGAGGTGGATGAATGCACATAAAACTTTCGACTATCAGTCGGCCCTCCAAGAAAACAATCTCCCCTAAAAGGAAAAGAAATTTGTTTTCCCATAAGTAGGGCAGCCAATGGTTAGGGACAGGTATACCTCACACTGGGTCTCCTCTTCCAATCACGTACATGGATCCATTGTCTATCTCAAACCTATAAAATATGGAAAAACCAATGCTAGACCTCAATGTTAAAGCGTAGCCTAGACCTCAATGTCTAATAGTAGTGGGACGTGCCCCCTCTTGCACCTAGCTTGTGGCGTGGCCCTACTATGATCTTTAAATTAAACTTAGAGAGAGAGAGATGAGAACTTAGAGAGAGAGAGGGGTGACGTACCACCCTTGTAGAGAAATACTAGAGAAAGAGATGAGAGTGTAGAGATTAGATATGGGAGAGCCCCTATTTATGGATTTTCTAAGCGTTAGGGTTTCTTTAAGATTAGCTATCTTTATGGAGAGTAGTTCTAAACCATTAATCATAGGAGATCTCTGTGGGATGAAAGATTTGAGTCATCCAATCTTTGGATCATTGATGCAGTATAAAATTTACTGACGAGTGCCACTGGTAAAAATAACTGTTTTAAGAGATAGAAATAAAATCGTGAAAGAAATCACAACAAGAAAAAACAAAACGTGTGGATGCAAGTATTATGAAATGAGCTTATAAATACAAGAGACAAAACGACACCCACAAAGGGCCCCTCTCTCTCCACGATCTCAAATATCACCTCTTTTTTTCATTAACAAAATTCCATCTCCCTTTTACAATAGCGTGCAACCCTTTTTACAATGCCTACTCTTTCCTTGGCAAGATAAATCCTACTTAAGTTCACCTTAACTCCGTCCTTTTATAATCCTCATCTTTCCTTTGCAAGACAAATCATTCCTTAAAATCATTCCTTATCAAATGTTAGTAAGTATGCCCTTTTAAAAGCAATTATCTCCTAATAGCAACGTATGAACCTTATCTATTGTAAACCAAATGGACCTACCTAAAAGAAACTTTATCAAGCAAAACCAAAAAAAATCCCCACTAATCCTATTTAAAAAATTTGATCCAAATAAAATAAAAATAAAAACACCCATAATTTTTAAAAAATAAAATAAAAAAAAACACCCATAGCTTCTAAACATAAAAATAATAAAAGTAAAAATAAAATTTTAATCGACCCATTCTTGATCTGTATCATTCTCCCTTGGTTGGATAAAACTCGTCAATGAGTTTTGAAATGCGTTAAGATGAATTTTTTAATATCCATGCATCCGTCTTCGGGTCCTTCTTCACTATGAATATTGCAAATATGATTATGCGACCTGTGGGTTACTGCACTGATCAAAGCATAATGATTGTGCATAGAAACTGAGAAACCCTCCAGGAGAGGGTCATCCTATATCGATTTTTCAGCCACATGCACTCTATGAAGTTGATCAAACTGAACCTCAAGGCATACCACGTATGCATCGTTTTCTTCATCTTCAATCTCCTCTGGAATAATAGAATCTAAACCCTCCTCATGAGCTACTGAAGTAAACATTAACTCAGTCTTCTGAACCTCCTCCATAGAGTTAGCCATTGAGAGTAAATTTACACCCTCCCCTAGTTTAGGCTTAGGCATAATTTCCTTTTTCATGGGAGCTAACACTGTTTTATTACTCTCTTTCCAAATGGTATATGTGTTCCTCCTTCCATCATGTATAACTCTACGGTCATATTGCCATGGTCTACTCAATAATAGATGACAATAATCCATGGCAACTACATCACACCATACATCATCAAAATATTTCTTTCTAATAGAAAAAGAAACAGGGCATCTACTTTCTACTCGTACCTCATTGCCCTTTTTTAATCAAGTGAACTTGCATGGTTGGGGATGCTTCTCTATGCTAAGCTTGAGCTTTGTGACTACATCTTGTAAATTTACGTTCTCACAACTCCCACTATTAATAATAAGCTTGCACACCTTGCCTCCAATGGTACAGGTGGTGTGAAAAATATTGGTCATCAACCATTCCTCCTGGGTTTCTTACTTAGCTATTAGTAGGTTCTTTCGAATAACTAAGGACTCTCTAACATCTCCATAGATAAGATCATCCTCGTTTGGCTCCTCATCATAAATTGGATCACCATCATACCCATCAACATCATCTAGGTCCTCATCCACAATTATAAGTTTTTTTTTTTTATCAAGATGACTATTCGGCTTTCTACAGGCTCCAACCTTGTGACCCGCCTCCCCGCACTTGAAACAACAGAGAGTTGAGTTGCTACCCTAAAATCTAGCTCCTGAACCAGCAATATTTGGGCAATTAATAGGTGTTGCAATAATATCTCTAAGGCCCCCAGATGGTGAATCATCAAACCTAGCATCATGATCTTGAAAAAGACCTGAATATCCTCTTCTAGTTGTACTAGACCTACCCCTGGATCGTTGCTTCTCTATTGTTAAAGCCCGTTGATAGGCTCCCGATATACTCATAGAGAGTATAAACTTAGGACATCCTCGATGATTGGCACAGTCCCACAATATATCGGACAACTTGTTGCTCTTCAGTCTCAGACAAGTTGTTTTGTGCAACTAGTTGATAGAACTCCTCAGTATAATTATCAACGAACCACCCCGATTGCCAAAGGGTATGAAGTCGCTGAAACATCGTCTGGGTATTGTTAAAGGGCAAGAACTGCTCCCTTAACTTTTTCTTCATCTTTTAATATCTAGATCCCAATATCTATTATCTCGAATATGGGGCTCCCGACGTAGAGTGTGCGCATGAAACAGGTTCTCGAAATCACCTTCCGACTCACTACCGTCATCATAATGTGTCGGGTCTGGATTTGTGCCAAGCGTTTAGTCAGGTCTTCTTCTTGCCTTCTCAACATTTCCAACTCTATCTCATGGAGGTCCCACTCTTGTTGGATTGGTTCAGTCCCAACAACTTTTTGTTGAGGACATCTACGAACTATGATGCCTTGTCAAGAGCACACGATCGCACATGAATCTAGGATTTGATACCACCTGGCGCATTATAAAATTTACCGGCGAATACCACCAGCAAAAATAAATACATTTAATAGAAAAATAAAAATTATGAATGAAATCACAAGAAGAAATAACAAAACATGCGGATACGAGTATTCTGATACGGGCCCATAAATACGAGAGAATAAACGACACCCACAAAAAGACGTCTCTCTCCATGATCTCAATTATCACCTTTTTTTCATTGACGAAATTATGTCTCCCTGTTACAATAGCGTGCAACCCTTTTTATAATGCATCCTCTTTATAATCTTCATCTTTCCTTTGTAATACAAATCATTTATCTCCTAATAGCAGCGTATTAACCTTATCTCTTGTAAACTAAACCGACCTACCTAAAAGAAACCTTATCAAGCAAAACTAAAAAAAATCCCTACTAATCCTATTCCGAAAAATTGATCTTAATAAAATAAAAAAAAACACCCATAATTAAAAATTAAAATAATAAAAAGCACCAATAACTACTAAAAAAAAAAAAAAATTAATCGCATCTTGATCTGCATCAATCATCCATCATAATTCAAAAGAATGAGCTAGAACTTTATCATTTAGCTTCTTTAAACCTAATCTCATCAAATAATCAAAATACGGAAATAATATCATAATTTCCTTTCTTATGGACAAATTTTTCATTCATTTCATCTTTGCAGTTTCAAACTGCTTAAACATCAATTTTTTCCAAAATTAAAACCAATTTGATAGCCTTGATTAACTAAGCATTACATAAAGGAAAGAGCCCCCATTATGTGGGGCATGCCACTTATGTGGGCCCCTTACACAGCATCTTGGTGGACTTGGTGGCCCCCACAAATATTAAAGAATTATAAAATAAAATAAAAAATTATTTTTAGAATTTTAAAAATAAACTTTATTTCTCTTTGAATATTTAAATATTTAAATTTTAATATATCTTGATTGATAAATCCATTTGTGAAAATAAAATATCCAAAAACTCATAAAAATTAAAATAATCTAAAATCATTTAACATTAAAATAATTTATTCCAAATAATTTTGATGGGGATTGGATCCAACATGATCAAGGAATTATAAGATTGCTGAAACACTCAATCTTCTACTGTGGACCATGATCCGCACTTACTTTCTCAAATTGACCCAGCAGTTCCCATGACCCACAGACCACTGATATGTACATGTCGTGTAATGGTTTAGTGATGAAGTTTTCGCCCTCGTCTCTAGAAGCCTATCATCATACACAAGGGTTACACATTCCCTTGGCTCACTCCTGGGCAACTCCGACCTCATCAAGGGATAACCCTAAAAACACCTCATCGATTGTTTTTAATGCCTAGGCATTAAAGGTTTTTTCCAACTCGATTAGCCTAGCACGTCAAGCCAATTCTGAGTATCGGCAAAAAATATTTACCAATCTTGGTCCATAAGGGACTATACTCCAACTTCCTTTATGTTTCACTTCAAATATTTGAATATAAACTCTCATAAAGCCTTTAATGACCACAGAAACCCAACATACACAAAAATACTATTCATCAGGTCGGCCTGGACCATTTAGAATCCCCCCATCCACCTACCTTTTATTTTTTTATTTTTATTTTTTTTCTAAGTCTTCACTCTTCAAACTTATCTTTTTTTGTAGTAAATCAAAAATAAATAAAAATAAATGGGTGTGGTTTATATAGAGACTAGGCTCCAAACAATCAAAGTAAAGTGTACCCTCAAATAGTGTCGAGAAATGTGGTTTCAATACTGAAAATCTTTATGATAACCTTAAAAT